TCATGGAGGAGGCAAGGCTGCTCGCTTACGACGAAGGAGACAACTATGTGGTCTACAACGTCCGTACCAAGAAGATTGAACGTTCGCGGAACGTCATTTTCAATGAGAATCCTTCTCCGGCAAGTCTGCCTGACCCTGCCTATGATCTTAATATTACAGGCATGAACCAAGAACATGAATATGATTCGCAGGATCGTTATATCCCAATCGATTTCCTACGTCCTCTCCTCGAGAATCCGTTTAACATACGATCTACCTCCCCACCCTCTCCTACGGTCGAAGATGATCCCGAGGATCAAACGAGGGCTCCGAATGCTCTCGACCCGTCGAATCCCGCGCTCTTTGAAGAAGATCTTGCGTGGTCAAATGATGAAATGGCGGGTAGTTTTGGCAGGTGTGTGGTGGAACAAAGGGTGGATACTGACTGGTGCCCACTTTGAAGCAGGTGGGCGAGGGGTTCTTGTCGAACCACAGCCTGTTTCCCGACAGGTTGTTAATATGGACATTCCCCTGGAAACAACCATTGATATATCTCAGGAAGATCCTCTGCACGATGACGAGTATCATGATCAATCACCATTACAGCATGATCAAGCAACTTTTGAACATATTTTCTCTCGCCTAGATCCGGTACCGGATGACAGGAGTCGAGATCAAAGCTATGTTCAACCCATTCAGCGTATTCAAAGCAACCGGAAGAAATACTCTAGAAATCCCCACTATTTCAAAATAAGCGTTCCTCCCGCTTTCCTAGCCAATATAAATCGATGGCAGGATAACCCATTTTCATTCTTTACGGAAGGCAGTCTTCACATTGATCCAACTGAATCACCTCTCTTCCAACTCTACATTTATCTCAAAGACCTAGAAGGGAGAAGGGAGAAGGACATACTACGCTCTCGCCTGATCAAAGTGTTATACTACCGTTTGAAAAACAGGCTATGCATTAACAATGTCCGTCCCAATGATGTGGAGATAGTGGCCCAGATAATTTCCAAAACTGGCACCATGAGGGGTGACCTTAAAGAGGTCAAGGAAACTATCTCCAAATGGATCAAGGAAGGCAAGAGACTCGATGTTCTATGCAAAGATATCAGCAGAACCGATTCTTTGGAAAACAAACACCTAGGTGTTTTGTTTTGCTTGCCTTATGATACCCACGATAAATAGTAAGTTTTCTTGTTTGGTACAATAGGCAAACGCTGACCATTTCGTAGTATCCATAGCTCAAGGTTCGACGGGGAATCCCGATCCAGGGAGATAAGCCACCTCCACGATCGTGGTATACTACGCGTCGAGGGAAAAGAGAGTATTGATGCTGTGGCTAGCGAAATATTTGGTGTTTTGTGGCAGAATGTTGAAAATTCAATACAAGACATTGCATCCGTATCAAATTCAAGTAAGGGGAGGGGTAGGGGGGAATAAGGCCAGCGGTGGATTGGGCACCACTGACTTGAGTCACATGATCTGGTCTTCTGAAACCAGACAGCCATAGTTGCCGTAAACAACGTCGCGAGTAGCCCACCCCCAAGTCTCTGTTTTTCGCTCAGCAGCAGATCAAAAGACTTGGAAGAACATTTCATATTTGCCACAAAATCTGGTTATCTAATTATTGCAGCCCTTGCCATTTTCACACCCTGCTATCGGGTCGAAAATGCGTATATTAAGGGCTACTGTTTGATCAACAGCATCAACGATGCATGAGGTACAGGATTGGTTACTTTGGAACGCTGTCACTTTTGCCCCTACCGACTTTTCTGCAGGCATATAGCTGGATCGGGGTCATAACACGAAGTCAAGTTTGCTAGCGAGGGACCAATGCCATACACTGAAATCGTCTTTCGGCGTACCGGTGCTGATACTTAAAATAAACACAAATGAAATAAAACGCAAGAGGGTCCACAAGTGGAAGTGTGCCGCCCCGTGGCCCAACGACTAAAATTAAAGAGTGGTATCGGAAATTAACAATATACAAGGTTTTGGGCCGCGCTATGCGCGGCCTCCCTCCCTTGCTAAGCCCTTGTACATAGAAAATTAAGCTAACAACATATATTAGAGAAAGAACAACCACAATTCTGCCATTTTTAGTAAGTTATCTCCTTTCTCATGGTCTATCCATTATAGTCTTCTCTTTTGGAGCTTGGAGACCTAATTCTATAGGGACTTTATAGCCCTTGTACATGCAATGTCAGGTATATCCTCCGTCTTCTTAAGAAGGTAATGTGTAACCCAGTCAATTTGTATATAGCACAGATACATGTCAATGAACAAAAGGTAGGCATAGGTCAAATGTCGGTATTTTTTAAAAAATATAGAGGGTAATGTAAGTATATTGTTCTGCAGTTGGCTACATTACATGCTACTCGGCGTTAATTAATTGGGAATACGGATCCCGACGCCTTAATGATGAGCAAAGACCTATAGCTACATACCATGATAAGGATCAACGTAAGTCTACATACACGCAATGAATACCCTATACATATCCCAACCACGCTAACGGCGCCTACGCCTCTTAGACGTGTCGTCGGTCTCGGTTTCAACTGCAATCTAACGGTCAGCATGACCATCATTATCTGCAGTGGCCGTGGATTTCCTTGACTTCCGGGACTTCTTCTTCTTCCTCTCCGGTTCTGGGACTGGAGAAGGAGAACGCCGCCGTTTCGGGGACTCCGGAGGTGGAGACCCGTCTATTGACGTAGGATCATAATCATTATAAACGGAAGATTCACCTGGAGAAGAAGGTATAGAAACCGCTCGGATTTGTGGTGAAGGTGTATCCTGGCGAGGGGAAGGGCTAGTAGTGGGGGATTCATTACGTGATATGGTAGTCCTAGGGGTTGAGGGCTTATCTGGCATTAACAATGTATTGTAACATTCAGATGGACCTGGAAGCACACCGAGAGAGAGGGAGCTACCGTAGCGATCAGGAAAAAACCTTTCACACATCAAGCACATTGATCGCCAAAAAATGAGTTTGAGATAGAGCTGGCAGGCCAGCTCACAGCTTTTTTCTGTTAATATACAAGGCGAGCGTGCCCAGGGAACCGAGGATGACTGCCAACGTCACCATTGGCCGCTCATCGACCAACTTTTGAATAAAACGAAAACCTTCCATGGAAGAAAGTCTTGTGTTTAGAGACTCACGGGCTGGCGAATGTAAGGCGATTGAATCCAGTGCTCGTAGCAGGCTACGAGCGTTTGGAAACCCTCCGTCCACCCAGCAGTCTTCAATGATTGAGCCAAGCCAAACATTTTCAGTGCTGGGAAGGAACTCTCTCCGCGGCCAGGTCGCTCGACCATCAGTTGGAGGGTTGTCTTTGAAAAGATCGATTTCGCATTTCTGACCAGTCACAACTTCATAGATAACTGCCCCAAGAAAGCCGAGGTCTATTCGAGTCGTGTATCCGTTATCATCAACAGTGTCTATATCGGTATCCAAGGGTAGAAGAGATGCTTCGGAGAAATCGCAGAATTTGATTGTCATATCTGAATCGAGAAGGAAGTTTCGACTGGCAATATCTGCCACAAGCACACGTTGGTCGTGGATATATTCGAGTGTGCGAGCCATTTCACGAAACCAAGAGAGTTGGAGTTGTTGAGGCGGCTGATTGGTTTCCAAGTAGGTCCGAAGATTTCCATTTGCCATGTAAGCAAGTTGGGTAGCTTCTTTTGAGAAACCAAGGCAATTTACAATACCACCACATTGGGGATTGGATGATTGGAAACGACGATAGACATCTTGTTCACGTTGGATGACTTCAATGTTCATCTCAACCTCTACATCCGAGCTCCAACAATATCTCAGAGGCGTCTTAACGGCCAGGCCGTCACGTAACACCACAACCGCTGAAGATCCAGATCCAAGGACTTGCTCCAGAGGTATAGAATCTCCGGAGAGATCTAGAAAGGGAGAGACCATATTGATTGTTGACAATGAAAGGAACGAGCTTTGGACTGGATTTACTACAGTAGAGGTGGAACAAGGGGTGATCGCCTTTATAGGTACATTTTCATAGTCACATGACCAAATCCCATCCCCTAGATCTCCCGACATCCTTTCCAGATATCTAGCTCTGAGTATCAAGCTCAATGTGCTTGGAATTGATACGATCATCGGTGTTTGGGACAGTTTTGTTTGCGTCCAGTCGAACTGCCTTGGCTTGTAGGGGTCAATTCGTCGCATACTTTGCCACGCGCTTCGGCCGGTTTACACCACTGGATGTGGTCACGATCGGGGTCGAAATGGATGCAGTTGCCTTCGGCTTTTCCCTTGCAATCGACGAAGGTAGTAGGAGTCTTCCAGCGTTCCCAGCACATCTTGCTTTGGGTCTATAAGTTGAAATCCGAAGAAGGTCATTCAGCGAGACGATGGTCTGAAATAAATTTTAAACGGTTGCAACTTTTCGAGTTTTGCTTTTTGGTTCAATATTTTATTTGATGAGAAGGCCGAAGATGGCAGTGTTTAAATACAGAAATTCGATGAGTTCTGGGAATTTGCAGTGCGTTTGTGTGCATTCAGGTTGCATGCAAGCCTCCGTAATGAGCCATGCGCCGAAACCAATTTACGAGCTATGTAGGCCTAGTCTGTAGAGCGGGGCATATAGGCTTTTAATATTCCATTCCGGGCGAATTTATTTTGGTTCTTGACAGACTCGACCAACTAGGCAAAATGTAAAGTCTTTAATTCCCAGACCTTCACAGAATTTCTCGAGATGAGAACGAGGTACCTTGCACAATTTCGTTTCGGCAAGACAGATTCGACCGGGAATAGGAAAAAGGCTAGGCTTCGCCTCGTCCCCTCGTCATAAGGCGGGCAAGCCCTGGGATCTTACACTCTCACTTTCTCCGATTCCTGTAGGACAGGTAATGCAAGCTACTAGTTGGGCAGTTCCATTCTGTACCAGTAATCGTTTTTTGCCGCCTCCACAGACCTCGCACTATTCCATTTTGGTCGATTTTGTCTGGTTCTTTGTAAAAGTCGACCGAAATGGAATAGTTCAAAGCTAGCCCCGTGTGACCTCATAGCAGGGACCGGGGAGGTCTCGCAGTCTCGTGCTATCCATTTCAAGGAAACCTGTCAGGCTCTTGACATAATTTGACTATAAAGGAATAGTGCCAGACTTGGGTGTTAAATTTCTGTCTTTGCTCAGATTCTGCTTCCTCGCCATCGCTTCCCATCATGCGTGACCCACTGCATTGGCCTATATGGTCATACATCTGGCAGTCAAGTCTCTCCACATTTGTGATCTGGACAGTGGGGCATCTTCTCCATATCAATTTCAGTCGGAAGGAAAGAAATCCTTCAAGTGGACAAGGAACAACAAATGCCTGTATGTTCTAGGACAACAGCTCATCTGTTACGGATATAAACATTTCCGAACAATCCGTAACACAAAGCACAAACGACCAGCAACTTTTGATCATTGGTATATTTGCAGAAGTCTTCCTTCTAGGGAAAAAACCATCAGAAAAGTACCTCGCGATGAAAGCGAAAAAAAAATGCAACCAATCATTCGCGAAACCATCATCCACGAATTGCCGAATGCACATCAAGAGGCGGCAATAGCGTGAAAAATCTCGATACGAAATATTATCAGCACGGTGACTTTGCAAGCTACTGCCAAAAGAATTTAATCACTTCTGAACTTCAGTCAAAGTGGTTCCAGCAAACTTTGGAAGCTGTTGTTGTTTGCCACTCATTTGGTGTTATCCACTCGGACTTAGCGTCGCGGCAATTCTTTGTGGACGATCACTTTAATCAACGCTTGGGTGATTTCAACTTTTCTCAGTGCGTTGGGAACCCAGCGTTGCATCACATTGTCTACCTTGTGATTACGAACTGCCAAAAAGGAGCCTTCTGATATTTTTGCTCTAGGGTCCATCCTATATGAACTAGTCACTGGCAAAGCTCCATATGGGGAGTTGGATAAGATAGAAACCAATAATCTTGATTGTATCAAGGCACAAATCCGACGTCAACATAGGGTGGTGGATTTTGAGATTGAATTACGATACGAAAGCAGCAGTTCCCGGACGTCACAAGCATTTATTGCAGAAACATCATACTGGGTTGCTGGAGAGGGCAATTTGGCACAGCAAAGGAAGCGCTGGACATGTACTTACAATTGATGGGTGACTAAGGCGCTTTTCTCTAATCAAATATATAACGTCGATACCGTCAATCGAAGCTTGGATCGATTATACCTAAAATGCGATATGGTGACCTCAGTATATTCAATCTTGGGGGGATCTGAATCATGAACTCTGAGATTCACGTGGAAGCAACTGCGCCAATCTTTCGTTTTCTACTCCGATGGTGACGTGCCAACGCTATTTATAGTCAAACCTAGGTATACAGTAACATCAAACTTTGCAAAAGCCTGCCTACTTAGACTTAGACATGAACGATTCTATCCATAAAATAAAGAGGTCGTCTCTCCCTGGACATACAGATATCTTACCAGTTCAGGCCTTAGCGTGTCAGGGTGCTGATGCGAATATAAGCCACTCATTCCCAGATGAGACGTTTCTGTCTCGCTTCACATCTAACTCAATTGCTGTGGCATCAAGCAATGGACATCGGAAATCTACTCAACCAACAAAGACCCTCATTCAATCCGGATCATATGCAGCCGCCAAAGCAACAGTCAAGCCGCCAAGACTCTCCAATTCCATGCATATTAGACCTCAAAACAGGCTCACTGGTTGAGGAAGATAAACGGAAAGCGAACCGCGACGCATCACGGCGATCCCGTAACCGAAAGCGTGAGAACAAACAACATGACCTGCTTGTGAGTTCACAGATCAAATGTCTCAAATCCCGGTGTGCCTTTTATGAATCTGAACGCGACTATTTCCGCGATGAGCTTCACCGTTATATACACTCAAGTCAATTGCCACCACGACCACCGACCCCACAGCCGATACCATGCATCTCACCACAATCATCAAGCTCCCCAACACAACTTGAGAAGACTGATCCGCACGGGAGATACATATTTGAAGACATTACTGAACGACGCTATCTTTATCTCTTTAAGTTCGATATGTGTTTGTTGTCGAGGAAAATCATGTACAGTGAATTCAGTCAGTTGTCACTAGGCTCAAGCTACATGAATAGTAAACTGAAAAGAAGTTATTAAAGCCTGGAACTTGTCTTTTAGCCAAGAACTTCGTGTGACACAGACCTAGGAAAACTAAACATATGGATATACCAAATTTTATCCAACAAGCCAAAGCTTTGGGATTCGTCGAAATAATTATAGGGTCTTGAACACGGAATGATACTAGCTAGTAGACTTGCCATCACTCAACGGCAACTTGGTATTCTTCGTCTTTTCTTGTTTACATTTTTATATAAAAACTTAATAACAAGTTTCTTAGATGTGAACAGTTCCGTCCGGCTGAGTGGATTGATATCCGAATCTAAATCGTCCTCACAGGATGCGTTCTCAGCAAAAATAGCAAGACGACTTCACATCCTGGTCCATGTTCAAGTAGATAAAGGGCGGATAGAAAAAACATAAAGATTTTATCTGCCTTCGAGACCAGGCACACCATCGACTCTGGGGGAGGAGTGCCAGTTCTGGTGAATTGAGGTCGCATGGGACAATTTTACCACCCCTGGATTTAGAGCCGGAGATATCGCAGATTTGCTGGCATGTTTCGAGTGACATATTTATATTTCTCACTTTCTGCGAGATTCAATCCACCAGAGCCAATTTGTTCTTATCGCTTTCTCTTCCTTCTCTATATTTTTGCGGGTGATACTAGCTTCGATCTATAACACGCCTAAAGACTTAAAGTTGAAGATCCCCCAAGAAATCCTTTGTTAGAGGATCGTTGCGCTCATACTCGCCATGAATACATCTCTTGCGATCGCTCCCAATGTTACTCCCCTAAGCAATACATCCGCACTAAAAAAATACCACGGATCTGGATTTCGATCGCTCCGTCCTACTACGCAACAAGAGCTTTGGGTGATATTCAAAAAACCGCCTTCTGTCAGACCCACACCAGGTAGGAGAGCCCCCCGTATGTACACGTCATGTTGAGGCTGATATTGATAAACAGACATAATTCCCGATCTAATTCGCTCCTTTCGCGGAGTCAAGTCTATATATTTTGGCCGCTTAACAAAGTATATTCCAAGCCTGCGGAATTCGGCACAAGAACAACAGGTTATAGAAGAGATGCTTAATATTAGGGGAGAGGAGGAACAGTACGAAATGGGGCGACTTGGTATGCATAATCTCCTCTTACCTAAATATGTAAAATACATAACGTAATTCCCAAGCGAGCTGGCCACCCAACCAAAACACGTCCATGAATTAGATCTTAGTTAGTTCAACCACCCACCATGCCACCAATTCGTACTCAATCCTCTCGAAATTCAATAGAGCAGGAGGGTAGGATCTTACTAGCTATCCAGGCTTTTAAGAATCAAGAAATCTCTTCAATTCGTGAAGTGGCGCGCCGTTTTAACGTCCCAAGATCCACCCTTTCTACCCGCCTGAATGGTATACAACACCGCGCGATTTCTCGCGCCAACTCTCATAAATTGACCGATACTGAAGAGGAATCTCTTCAGAAATGGATGTTCTCTATGGACGCTCGTGGTTCAGCTCCACGACCTTCAATGGTGCAAGAAATGGCGAATGTTCTGCTTTCGCATCGCGGAATCAACCCATCATCTACAGTCGGCAAAAATTGGGTCACTAATTACATTAAACGACATCCCAATCTATCCTCGAGATTCTCCAGACGTTACAATTACGAACGTGCTAAATGTGAAGATCCAAAAATCATTGGTGAATGGTTTACACTTGTTCAAAAAACGATTCTTCAATACGGCATTGACAACGATGACATTTATAACTTCGATGAGACTGGTTTTGCAATGGGATTAACCGCAACTGCTAAAGTCACTACGAGATCTGAATACTACGGTCGGCGATCACTTTAACAACCTGGAAATCGCGAATGGGTGACTGCAATTGAATGTACAAATGCTTCAGGTTGGGCACTACCTCCATGCATTATTTTCAAAGGCAAAGTATTCATTGAATCTTGGTTCGACAATCTTCCAAATGATTGGCGCTTTGAAGTCAGTCCTAATGGATGGACCTCTGATGAAATTGGCCTTCGATGGCTTGAAAAATTATTCATTCCACCGACTTATTCACGGACAAAAGGTCAATATCGACTTTTGATACTTGACGGACATGGAAGTCGTTTGACCCCGAAATTCGAGGAACTTTGCGAAAAAAACAACATCATTCCAATCTGTATGCCTGCACATTTATCTCATCTTTTACAGCCACTTGATATTGGATATTTTGCGGTATTAAAACGCTCTTACGGTCAACTTGTTGAAAAGAAAATG